CCTAGGACTATATTCTACAAATATATTTGTCTAATACAAATATACATTTGCAAATACAGAACCAAATTTGCTACACAATTGGAGAGATTTATTCTAAAAGCCTTAAGGGACCTGTCTACCAAAACTTATTTAGATAATTTTGAGATAAATCCATTTTCTGATGTAGTTAGTTTGTGAATATTGATGTAATTACTTCTATATTGCTGTATTTTCACCATAATGTAACAGATTTGTTATAGATGACAAAGTAAGTTGTAAGTATGGAAACTTTCAATTACAATGATAATTTTCCTCATTTTTTCCTGGTATTTTTACACTGTATAGAAATACTCCCGAAACACTAATGTCTTAGTTCTACACAACACTAGAAACTTGTACTATGAGCAGATATCGCTTTTTAATAAATTATAATAATAATAAATAAATAAATAAACATATAAATATATTAAATGGTAGACAGGCCCTAAAAGACCACACCCTCATAAAACCTACCTTCGCCTGGGGTCACGTGGAGACCTGGGCCGGGATGGAGAGCCGCCAATCTTCCGTGGAGGAATGGCAGCGGGATCCCTGGGGTCCCTAGGATCCCTAGGGTCACGGGGACGAGAAGAAGCCCGGCTCTCCCTGCCCTTCTCATCCCCACTTGCTTCCCCTACATCACTGTAGCCGAGCTCATCGCGGTAGAGCTCCTTGAAGCCGGTGTGTGCCCATCTGTTGCCATTGAAGAAGTGATGTTGGACAACTGAGAACTATAAACTAAAAGATGAGGGTAACTGGCTCATTTACCCATTCAATGGAAAGACAACAGCGACGCTGGTACTCCGCTCCTTACCTGTTTGGTTGCGAAGCTTCGGCATCGAGCAATTTCTTGGTCCAGAAAGTGTCCTTGGTGCGGGTGGAAGCCTCGCGCCGCGCACGCACAACGACTTGTTCAATGGGACCTCGATCTATCCCACCACCACCAACCCCACAATCTTGAAAGATTAAAAGTTTAACATCTATGTCTTGGCCTATGCTTGTGTTGAAACTTGCTTAATGATATCACAACCAAATTCCTATGAAAAAAAAAGGCTTTGTCTACTGTACAATGCCTTCAATAATAAAATCTAATAAAAATGGGCAGAAAAATTAATAAATTGGGACAGTATCATAAAAACAAGCCTTGAATACAATGGTGTTCATGTAATATTTCTGTCTTCCATGGCCAAAACTTACTTATCAGTTTCTGCAAGACAATTTTTTCTATTCATTTTACTAACTGTCAGCATACTTCTTTTTAAAGGTTGAAACACTACATAAAATTAAAATTACTAAATTCTTTCTTTTTTTTTTTGCCTTATCTATAATTTTTGGAATTACAAATAGTTAACTATCTTAGAAGCTCTATATGAACAATCCAGGCACTAAGTTGGTAGATATAAAATCCTAATACAATATGTGATAGCTAAAAAAAAAGATACATATACAAGCATACATGCTTATAAGTATTAATGCTTGGGTAATCCATACCTTCTTTTGGGTCTCTGAGGAGTCTCTCTGCACGTGGTGGTCTGTAGTCATCCATTCTCATCCGCATGGATGCGATAGGCTGCTTATTACCTCCTGACATGGGAGGACCCCCACCACTGCCTCCTCCGCCTCCTCCTCCTCCACCACCTCCCCCCCCACCTCCTCCACCTCCTCCCCTTGCCCTGCGGCGCCTACGGCCCTTCCTCCTCCTCCCGCTGCCCCCTCCACCTCCCCCACCTCCGCCAGCAACGCCATTTCCGCTTCCTCCTGGCCTGGGGGGTGGGCTGCGAGGCCCGCGCTTCGACCCTCCGCGATCTCCACTTCGTCTCTGTAGAGAACAAGAGCTCCAGTAATGCCAGTAGTTACAGGAGTTCAGGATACATTCTAGAACATATCCTAAAACCATTTTTTTGTTATCCTTTATGGTCTGAAAAATAATAATAATAAAAAAGTGTGGAGCTAGTGAGATTCCTTTATTCTAGTACTAATCAGGGACATTCTGAACAATGCACAAAAAGGAAACGCATTTAAAAATTGTCTCGTCCCTCTCAGTGAATTTATCATTCTTACAAGGGGTAAATATTTGCTCAGAAATTTTAACAGGGATAACTTTCTGACCTTAACTGTCACCATAATTAATGAAAAGTCAATGAGTAAAAAAAATAATAATAATAATAAGTGGGAAGTAGTAATTAAAAGTCAATATATCTGTTAGGATATAAATGTGAGCAGCTTTAGAGTATGAAAATAATAAAAGTCAATAAAATTAACATGTATGAAAAGGGGTTCAATTACAAAATGATCAAAAAAACAATATAAAAAAAGAAAAGCACTAACCACCTCTCTCCTTTATCCATACTCACCACACCAAAAATTTGAGTACAATGAGCATAAAGTATTTAATGCCTTGTCAGTGTACTCAGCAAGTGGCCATGGTAATATGACCTTGCCAGTGGACCCTGTGCGGACCACAGCATACACTGCATGGCCTCTTGGACTTCCAACACAAGGCCATGAGGGCAACAACCTTAGCCATATTGGTAAGCTCAGGTGCAGGTTAGTGCCTTGAGACCTGCACACTGAGGGGCTATTAATCAGCAGGTTGCAGCCTCCAGCTGTGTTCCCATGGTCAACTCGTGACCGGGACCAGGCTATGCGTTTCCTCGCATTTGCTCCTTCTTCTCTCTCTCAGTAAGCATTGGAGATTTGCTTTGTCAGTGTTCACCGCATCAACTTTTATCACACTCATAGTCATGTACTTCTTTCTGAGAAATGAAAGAGTCGGTCTGAGTTCCGCACTGTCCCTTTTGCGCATAAATTTATAATGAGCTGAGTTTTCCATGAGGATTTGAGTCAATACTACTTTACATCACTTTCCCCAAGACTGAAAGTTACATTTTTAAGCCCAAATGACTAGAATCCCATTCAATGCCTCCTCCCATTTTTAAAAAATTAAATCTCAATCATTATAACATCAAATCCACTTCTGGTTTCACTCTGCACATTACCCTTAGCAAAAGTTCCATGAAACATACTTTTCAGGTTCCACTGCCACAGGAAATTTTGGGTTTATTATGCACGCCTTGTTTCGGAATACGATTCTGAGTAAAAGAACGCTTCTTCCTTTGCGTACCATCACACTATTCAAACTATAACATCACATGCACTAACATGGTTGCTGATGTTATCTGAACTTTTTTTTTTTTTTTGCACTTGTCTTCTTGACACACACACAAACCACCGCTCGGAAGAATTGGAAGTCAGTATGATAAATGCTATCACATTAAAGTTCCAAAACGTATTTACTTCCACACAAATTTGAACATTTCAAGTCCAGTTCTTGCATTTTTTTTTTTTTATTACTAGTTCAAATCATTCCGTAAAGTCTTGTCAAAATCTCCACCGTAAAAACGCAGTCCTTCACACTAAGTAACAATGGCTCAATCATCAAAGTTCCACACGTTCACCACTAACTCAATAAGTCTTATCCCGACGCGCAAGGTGCGAAATTAGTGTCCGAGAAAAAACGCTTACAGCCATAAAATGTCTTTCCTTTTTTTTTTTTTTTTAAACCACTTTATTGCCAATGTCTCTTGAAGTCACTGCTTGCATCCTGGCGTTAACCCGACCGCAATATCTTTAGAGGTACGACGAACGATCCAGGATTTGCGAGGTTCCGTTAGGGGAAAGTTTAAAAAGGACCTTGAGCTGAAAGAGGTCCAGCCACATTTCACAGTCATAGCTTATAATTAAAATCCTCTCTGACAGCCAGAAGTGGGTAAGCGATGAGACCTACGCCTTACACTCATACTTCCTCTGCATTCAGAATTGTCAGGCCACTTTGAGGTTTTAATAAATTATGCTAAATTACATTAAAACCTTCCTGTGCTATCCTCAAAAGTTCTATCCCTGCTACAAGGGGGGGAAACTTAAAAAAATAAATAAATAAATAAAAAAAAATAAAAAGTAAAACCTCACAGAGAAAGGCTAACCTATCTTTTATCTGAAGGAAAAACAAATAAAGAAAAGAAAAAAAAGATAACCTCAAATATACGCTAGTCTGGAAAATGCCTAAAAAAGAACAATCACTAGCTAACAGAAAAAAAAAAAATAATAATAATAATTACAACAAGAAATGGCCTCACAAATCTTCATGAAATTTACAGCTTTTGGTCTCTTTTGATTAAGTGAAAACGCGAGTGCTCTGGCTGTATAGTTCTTACCCGTGGTGAGGCTGGGCGGCGCACAGGAGATCTCCTTCGAGGAGATTTAGGCCTCGGAGACCTAGGCCTAGGGGATCGCGGCCTGGGTGACCTAGGCCTTGGGGACCTCGGCCGTGGAGATCGCCGGGTTGGTGAGCGTACCATTTTCACCCAACCCTATCCCCACTCTTACCCTGAAAGAAGTGTCGTTACGGTTAGTAAATCCCACTGGTCTGGGGAGCGGGAGAACCAAGATAAAGAGGAAATATAAGAAAAAACAAAAAAAAATGTTGTATTAAAGTAAAGTTAGAGCAAAAGGATTGTCAGAAGGGTGAAAAGAAAATTAAGGAAAATGAAAAAAAGAAAGAAAGAAAGACAGAAAAAAGAAGCAGAAAAAGGAGAAGGATGAAGTGCATTATTGAAGAAAAGGAGACGGAATAGAGAAAGGAACAAAACGGGGTCAAGACAGCAAAAGGGGACAAGATCAAGGAAGAAGAAGTAACAAAATTGGAGAAAGAATCGGGCACAAGAGCGAGACTAAGCAGGAAAAAGAGGAGAATGAGACTTTTTCAAACAAACACCATAAATATTACATCTAATCAAACAGAGACATAAATATTAGAATCTGCTGATGCAAAATTGAATACTGGTTCTCATTAATATATTTTCTTAAGAATAATTATGAACTTTTGTACAAAGAAAGGTGATGTAGCTCCTTGCACAGCTGGTATCTCAGATTTGCTAAAATTGAGCTTCTTACATTGAATCACACAACTATATACCACAGCTTCTGCCATAATTTACCATTATAAGAACACAGTGGTCCCCAACCCAACAACAAGCCAACAATTTTGGGGAACTCCATGAGGATATGGAGGTTTAGGTTATCTTAATATTTGAGCCAAAAATTGTATCTTACATGACGAAGAAAGTGTAAAAAAGTAAAACTCCAATCCAAGGTTCAGTCACAGATGATTTGAAACAGTTTTATGCGAAAAAACACATGAATGAACCTCCATCTTAAATGCACAAAAAAATCACTGTATGAAGCAATAGCCTACCTAACCTAGCAGCTTTGCCCCTGGATCCCTGCCATATTTCCCTAGCCAGAGGCTTTGCTCCCAGACCCCCTCCTGATCACCATATTTCCATATCAGTGGGGTTTGCCCCTGGGTGTAACAGCATGTCCGAGTGGTTGGGAATGAAATGAATCTTTGATTTTCATGGGTTATATGCAGTTAAAAAATGCTTATTGTTCTACACTAAATCTAGTATTAACCTTGAGATTATAATACTTTCATTAAGAGTTCTTTTCACTAGAAATTTATAAAAGCATTCAAAAACAAAAGTTTGACAGTCAACAAACTCTGCTTCCAAAAGATGCAATGAATACTGTGACAATACTGTCATATTTGGCAAAAGATGGTTATGCATCAGTAATATATGATATAACAAGAATTTCTAATTAAAAACTATGTACATAATAATATATAATGCATGGCACATATTCAGAATGTACATTTAATACATACTTATATTGGTGCATTGTGATGAAAATTGAAATAAGGTACTGTATAATGCCTTTTTAAGAGAGGGCCAATGCCTACTGGTGACTTCTCTACCTGCCAGCACAGAGACAGTTCTTGCAGGGTTACCCGGCAGGAAATTTATTGGCTGTGAGGTGAGGGAAGGTTGGACTCAGCTGTGGGAGGTATGTAGGGACACAGCCTCCCCGTGACGAATTCTACAACCTTTGTTCTTTAATTATGATGTAACTATGTCTTTTTTTTATTAGTATACATAAAATTCTTACATCTCTGATACCATTTCATATTCATTTCCTAAAATTACATTTCCTCCAGACTAACCAATAAGGCCTCTACTATCAAAACTTTCAATAATATGAGAAAAATTTGATCATCTATGGAATGCTTATCACATCCCTAATTTCAATTTTATTTTCTTCAAAATATTCATATTTCTATCCATATAACTTAAGATCATAGGAACTTTGGTAAACACTATTGATACACTCACAAGAACTAACACGATCACTATGTTTATTGTGTCTTAGGATTTTTCAACAAAAGGACAACAAATACCATAAGATACATTTTGGCAAGTTACAGCTTTTACTACCATCGAGACAGCCCTGCGGTGATTGGCTGACTGGTGCATGAGAAGCCAGTCCAGCTCTCTGTTTCAGGTGTCCCAAGTGTCTCTGAATATGAGTGCAAGTGTCATCCGATGTCTGCTCACTTAATTACTATCACTGACCTAAGACTGACAAATAAACACACAAAAGCTGAGGTGTATAAATAAGTACATATCCACGCAAAAGATCTGACTGAATCCTAAAATATTAAGTTAATATATGCTACTAATACAACCACCACTGAGTTAAGTTCCAATCACCAGGGTCTCCTGACCTATTGGCACCTTGGCAAAGGCCCACAAACCAACAGTATATAACATTACGGCAAGATAAAAGTCTGTACACCTCCCTAACTGATATAACATTAAAGACAAGAGTTTATGCTCTCACTAGCCTCAACATAGGTACAATTAGAACTTCAGTTTTGTAAAGACAGCAGCGATTGCTTGACACTTAGCCTACTACTGTTTTGGAACTGTTACTTTTTAACCCCAGATAACAGGAAGCCTCATGTGATTCTAGGTATAAGAAAACCTAACAAAAATAACTAGAAAAGTCCTATTTAAATACAAACTTGAGTTATCAAGTACCATTCATCTCCAAAAACTAATACAAATCCACATTACAACAAAGCACATTACAAATCCTCAATAATTGACACTCATACAGAACACAATAAACCCCCACAAGAACTCAAATAACAAATCCCTTCACCAAAACACTCGAGAAAATAAACATTAAATCCTAAAATACACCAAACTATAAATACCAGCTGCGCAAAAATGCACTCGACGTCAATGTACATCATCACCATCATTTTTTCCACAATCTTTCTCCTCTAATGTCCTTCTGGTTCACGTTCACTTACAAGACAGGTTTTTCCACTAAAGAATATTCCTTTTATTTGACTCGACCTGAACTAAGTAGGCCGAGAAAAAAGACGATAATAATGGAATAATGGAAGACTTGATTTTTGCCTCTTAGCTGTGGCATTCGGCTTATATATATATATATACCTTTCATACAACGAACTTCTCCTCCCCTCCCCCCCTCCATCGATAACTTACACGGACTTGAATTCAATCTGTTTATTCAGTCTTTATTAAGTTTTCTAGCCGAAATAATGCTCAGGAA